AGCACTAGGTGCCCACAGTGAATGTGATAAGAGGGCTGTTCGGAGCAAAGGCAACAGAACTATACAGTCGATCTTCTAAGTTCGTTTCTTTTCTCTTTATTGCTCCCTTCTGTCCTCTCAAGCTTGGAGGTAGGACTATGAGGCCTAGAACAAAATGAAAATGTCAAACTCCCTATAAAATCTATCAAACATTTCAAAATACTCTACAGTAATAGCATCTACCTTGGAGAGGGCTCTCCTTGCACAGCCTGACAGAAGGCGTGGGGGTGGGGTTCCTGCCTGTGTTGGCAGAAATCCAAGGCTGGGATTCTTTCTCATCATCACCACAGGAAGAATTTACTCTACAAAGTGCAGCTTCAAGCCACTTATTTGCATGCAAGCTTCTCATCTCTAGATTCAGAATAAGAGGTATCCCTCCCTCAGTATAGGAGCAAAAACCACCAGTAAGCAGAAGGGGAGAGGCGGGAGTGGTAGTGGGATTGAGACAGGTGGAGTGACAGGAGCATGATCAGAACACAATGGCAAGCCAGCATGGTCTCTCCAGCAGGACTGCCTCAAGCTTCGTCCTGAATTCTTCCAACGTTACTTCTCTGGAGACAATAGTCGAGAATTTCGAAGCCTAACTTAGGATCTGACATATTTTTCTGTTCTGCCTGCCTTCAACTCTCCCCACACGGCACCCCAAACAGAAGTGCTCACCCACTGTGCAGAATCACCCCTCTTCCTCACTCCACACCAAGAGACCCAGATGCCTTCAATGACCAGAATGCCCCAGAATGTGTGTCATACTGCTTCTACCCCCATGTCACCAAGTGACTAGGAGACGCATCACGAACAGCACAGTGTAAAAAGCATCCACATCCCATCCACTGCTGTCCCTGCCTCGTTGCTCCCAATGGATTGCACAAGTCCAGGACTGGCTGTGTCCAGAAAAGCTTGAGCTCAGTGCTTACAGTGTCCCTTAGAGGTCATGTGGCAGCCGACAAACAATAGAAGTCCCAAACTCAGTATCTCCAAGAGGTCTTGCTTGCAGAGTACAAGAGGCTGGGGCCGACTAGCAGCTTGCTACTAATATTTATGTCATCTCCATAGGTTCTTGTTTTAAAATGTACCTTAGGGTATCTTCCTTCTTAATCTCTTTTGTGCTGCTACAATAAAAGATCCCCAAATTGCATAACTTGTAAAGAACAGAAACTTATTTCCTCATTGTGTGGAGGTTGGGAAGTTCAAGACAGAGGCATTGGCAGATTTGGTTATCTGTTGAGGCCAGCATTCTCAGAGAGCATAAGTACTGTGTCCTCATATGGTGGAAGGCAGAAGGGCAAGCTAGTGAAGGCTGCATGAAGCCTCTTTGATAAAGGCCTTAGCCCCGTTCATGAGAGAGGAGTCCTCGTAGCATCAGCACCTCTGAAAGGCCTCACCCCTTGATACTGTCACATCAGCAACACCAAAAGTCCAGAGGGGTCACACTCCTCCACCAGCAGTGCCTTCAAAGCTTTCACTGTCTTGTAGATCATAGCGTGGCTTCTTCTCATTAAAAAATGGAGTCATTTGTCATCTGACCCCTCCAATCACACTACTCGCTCTGCAGTAGCTGGAGGAGGGTGAGCTACATGGACTGGTGACAGAGGAACCCCCAGAGACAGCAGCCACAAATGGCCCACAGAGAGATCCTGCTCTCAGATGTTTGCACTGCAGAAGAGCAATGCTTCTCAAAGCTAAATAGTTTCATGGAATGATGTCAAACTTACGTCCAAGTACTCTATTGAAAACGTGAAAGCAGAGCCAGTGACGTGCCACTGAGATTTCAATGCTCAAGTGTTTTTTCTATACTGAAGAAAGAACTAGACCACAAACACAAAGTAAGGAATTTCTATCTACTCAAGGGGATAAACAGCACCCCAAAGGACAGGACCTGATCCAGCTCTCATCTCAATTCTTTCCCCAGATGCTATTAAAAATTAGCACCACTATGTAAGAATCCAACCCAAAGGTCAGAACCAAGCAGAACATTGAGAAAAAAGGGGAAGGAAGTAAATAGTGTCCCCTGGGTTTCAGAGGTAGGTAATTAAATCTCTAGGTAATACATTATAAGGCATAAGTGTGACAGTCTCCCCTGGGAGCTGTGCTGATTGGAGTTACTGAAGCCAGACCAGATCTTCAGAATAATCCACCTGAATTCAGGCTTGTCCTGGGTTACCCAGTGGAGTAGGGGCAGAGCATCCTCAGAGAATGGCCTGACAAAACTGCGAAACAAAGAAGTTGGAGTGTTTTGCATTAAGATGGGCTCAGAGGATGGGGCTGGGAGGCAGGTGCGGTGGAGGCCACACCCATCAAGTCATGGGCTTAAGCGTTTGGTCGAAGTCACACAGAGCCCCATGCACAGGTCATCATGCCCCTGCCTCACAGCCACCTTTAATTATTATCTGGAAGCATCCCATCTAGCAGTGTACAGTGGCTTTTGTTATTTCTTTACTATTTCCTTTCCTTTTTGGTGTGATGCAGAAGATTGAAGCTAAGCAAGTGTTCTTCCCCTGAGCTGCACCCCCAGCTTTATTATTTCTTTAAACACAAATAATACCTGTCTTGAGCATACTAGTTCCAGGTTTAGTAAATTTGCCTTCTTCACTTCAAATCCTCTGAGGGTGTGTGGGACACTACCGCTTCTAATCCAAAATTTCCCCTTAGATTTTTGCTAAATCATTCTGACTTTAGGACTACTAACACCTTTTACACAACACCATTCTCTCTAAGGGTGTGTTCAGAAACATAAATAGGTTAAAGCTATAGTTCATCCTTATAAAGACTTTATCATTTGCTCTAACTCATTATAGAAGACAAACTTCAAATTAGACCTCTTCCATTCCCTCTTCCTCCTAAATGAGGAATAGACAGAACTATGAGCCTGGGCTGAAAAAGTCTTCAAAAGTAATTCAGTCCAGCCACCTCTCTGAAGTAAACTTGATGATTTATAACTTTTTGATCAAATGGCCCTCCAGGAGATGACAGAATTCTTGTAGTGACAGGAATACCACTTTGCTCTGAAATGTAACTATTTTTGCAGTTACTTCTTATATCAAATTAATTCTATCTCCTTCCAGCTTCTTCTGACTGGTAGACCCTCCCAAGTACCATGCTTCCTGTGAATATAGAAGACTGCCTCCATAATTTTTTGCCATAGATAAGAACATAAAAAGTAAATAATGTCTGCTGTGTAATTATCAAGTCTACAAAAATATATTTGAACTGTTTTGTTTTTATTTACTCACATGAAAATAACTTATTGCGCTTTCGTCAAATTTGGAAGATATGTGTGGATTAAACTATCTTCCAATATCAGCCATGAAAGCAAGATTGGGTACCTTTGCTGACAGTGTCTCTAACAGAATGCCAGCTCTCACAGCAAACAGACGTGGTGACAAAAGGCTAGTGTAGCTGCTGATTGAGAAAGACAGGCCCTACACACCCCATACACGGAAAAGCAGACAAGAGATTTCAAAAGTGAAAGCACATTGAAAATCACCAGAGCAACACTCCAAATTGCAGGCATTGATTTGTAATTAAGTTCTTTTGAAATTGCTTTGTATGTGGGCAGCTCTATGCTCAAGGACTGGCAATCACAGTTTTTTTTAATGATGCTTAATGATTTTTCTTGGGGGTCAGCTAGTAACACACCACATGTGGAAATGCTCCATAAACTGTAAATCCTCTAAAATGTGATGAGCATCATCATTGTATTTTGAACTCTTACTGAGTGTGTTCACCATATGCTTATTATTATGCTGGTCAGCAGCTGAAGGTAATAGGTATTTTTTTTCATATCATTTATAAATGAATAACGACAAAAACAACAACAACAAAACCCTCACACCAAAAGCTTGATCTTGTAAATGATTTCTTTACCTGGCTCCAGGTATATAAAAAAAACAATGCTACATTAAAACTGCATGAATTTATGGTTCAAATGTAAAGTGGAAAAAAGTCTTAAGGCAGGAAGGTACCCCAGGAGAACAGGTATGAACAGCAACAGCAGAATTTTCTCTATAACTAAACAGATTCTGGCTTGTCTGTAGGCCCCTGAATTCTATTTCATAACAAAAGAGGGAATTGGGGTAGAAGAACATAGCTGTATTTCTGGAGATTTTAGCTGAAGGAGATTTTATCAAGAAATTGGCCAGGGGGATATTCTCCTGAAGGCATCACTTTTCCCATTGGTTGAGTTTTGAAGCAGTAATAATGGGTAAATTAATAAAAAGATACTAAGAAGACTTCTAAACAACTGGACACAGCTATTGTCTTCTAAAAGACCATTTAATAGGAGGATGCCTTGTGCCTATGAATAAAGCCAATCTGTCCATCTCAATTTCAAGTGCTCTCTCCTGTGCAGTGTAGGAGGATGGTTAAGGACAGGTGTTCTGGACTCAGGTTTGTGGCATCTGAATCCTGGCTCTGCTACTTGCTACCCAAGCAAGCACCTTCAGGTACTTACTGAATCTGTGCCACCCTTTCCTCGTCTCCTTAGTGGGGTTCTTCCGAGGAAAAGGAATCAGTAGGTGCACAGTTCCTTGTAAAGGGCCCTGAATGTCTAAGCACCATCCCGCTTCTTGCCTGTTCCCAGTCCTGAGTCTGAGGTCCAATTCCTAGAAGCGCCTGTCAGAAGGGGTAAATGGAAAACTGCTCTCATAGTCTACTCAGGTTTCAAAGTTTCGTGTTTATATTCTGTTTCATTCTTTAAAAAATTAAAGCAAGAAATTGGGACCTTCTGCCAAAGAGCAGTGAAATGGTGTACTCAGGGATGTGGTTTCCGAGAAAGTAAGAGGAAACAGATGTTTCTGAACAATAAAAATCCATGCCCTGGGTGTTGCTCACTTAAAAAGTGTCACTGAGCCGGGTCAGAGCCTTATGACAGTCTCATGAAGCTGGAGCTGCCCAGGCGCTGGCGGTACCCTGGATACCATTTCTCCGACCCCCCAAACCCCTCCAGATCCCAAGATGCCCACCTTCTATGAAGTCCGAGGCTGTGTACGGACGCTGGTTCGGGCCGCTCTCCGAGGGGCTGTTCAGGCTCTCCAAGGCCGACTCAATGGCTTCCACCAGCTCGTCGCGCTTGTCTTTCCTCACGGGCTTCTCCTCGGGGTGGCGAGTCAGGCCGGTCTCCAGCTGGTACACTTTCTGCAGGGTGAAGCTGTCGAAGGGCACCGCTGCGTACTCAGTGGCCAGCTTGATCCCCGCATGCACCTCGGCCTTGTCCACCTGTGCGCGCAGGAAGGCCCGCAGGTCCGCCTGTGCCTGGGCTTTGGCCGCGGGTCCAAGGCCTGCCGCCACGCTGGCCTGCTCCTGCACACCTTGCAGCTGCTCGCTGCGCCCCTGCAGCTCCTCCTTGAGCTGAGCGATCTGCCGCTTGAGGCTGCTGACATAGTTGCGGTGCTGTTCCTCACGCTCCTGCAGCGCGGCCTGGTAGCCCTCTTTCCCCGTGGGGCCGTTGGCCCTGGGTAGCCCCAGCTTCTCCTCATCGCCTTTGGGGGTGCAGGCCAGCATGTAGAGGACGGAGATGGCGCAGCACAGCAGCACGAGCAGGACCACCACCCGGGAAATCCACCCCAGCAGGCCGCGGCGGACCATCGTCACTCAGGGCAAGGCCATGTGTCCAGCAGGTGCCTCATCCCAGAGCCCAGGCCCCGCGGAAGGGCTTCTGGGGGACTAGACCACAAGAAGCGTGCGTCTGGGGCGCCCTGCACTGCGCTCATCCATTGGCCCCTTGAAGTCCACCGCCACCGGAGACAGCTCTCCTACAGAAGGATCTTCCAGGCAGAAGCAGTGGGTTACACAGAGCCTCCAAGTTCTGGCTCGCATTCCCATCATAGCCTTCAGACACGGGGTGACCTGGGGAGACACAAAGGACAGGAACGCTTCAGACATCACCTTCCTTCTCTGTGCCACGCCAGCCTATCGACTTCTCTGCAGTTACGGAAAGTGCTTGGGAAAGATGACTAAATATTGGTGAATGCAAATCAGAACACAAATGTGCAACCACTGTGCAATGCATGTAAAGAAAAGACAGGAGGGAAATATCACCAAGTGAGAATAATAATTCTCTGGGGAGAAGGATTTTGATTCTTCTGCTGCCTTGATTTCTTTTGTTTGTTTGTTTGTTTGTTTGTTTTTTGGTACCCAGGATTGAACTCGGGTCCTTGTGCTTGCAAGGCAGGCCACTGAACCGCTGAGCTAAATCCCCGGCCCTCTTTTTTGAATCTTGTAAATTTTCCAGAACAGCACATATTTTGATGATTTAAAAGGGAAAAGTAACTCTGGGAGGCTGTAGAAGGAGGATCACAATTTGAGGCCCAGGCTGGGCAGCTTAGTGACTTAAGATCCTATCTTAATATAAAAAAAAATTTTTTTTAAAGGATGGTGATGTAAGTTAGTGTGAAGACCCTATGTTCAGTCTATGTTACCAAGGTGGGATCAAAACCTGAAGGGCATTGAAATTGCTGGCAGGGGTCTCAGTCAGGCACCGAGGAGGATGCAATCAGGTCCCTTAGTCCATCTGGGAGCCCTCGTCCAGAGCAGTCCTGATGGCAGAGAGGTCTCATTGATGCCCATATGGGAAAGCACCCAGAGGTTCAAATATGCAGGTCGTAAATCCATATGCTAACACACTCAGAAAGGATCAGGGACAGTTGTTCCCCTGAACTCACCAATCCTGCTGCAGACTGGGAAGGTGAGTTCACCATGGAAAGGGATGGGGTTAGAGGAAGAGCAGAGAGCAGGAATACTATCTTGCTTGGCCTCAAACCCTAGGCATGGCTCTGTTCCAGCCTCTGAAAGGCATTCTGGGTGCTGACTGCTCTGCACCCCAACTCCAAGTCCCTATAACAAACACCCTGAAGGATGGGCTCTCGCCTTCTGCAGAGATCCTTCCTCCTTCCTTCACCACAGACCATATCACCACAGCATTCTTTCTTCAGTGTTTTCGCCCTTTTAACCCTCCTTTTACATTTCCCACTATTCATTTTAGCCAGAAATAAAAACAGATTAAAGAAAAAATTTGCCTTGGGAACATTTTCATAATACCTTTCTAGATGCATCTTTCCATATCACTTAAAAACAAGCTCTTAAGGGCATACATGCTTTGTCGTATAATGAAAAGCTGACATTTTTTACTAAGCCCTGTGCTGACTAAATTATTCTTCAGTTAGCCTTCACTCATCTGGGCAAATAATCACCCCACTTGCTGGTGTTCTGTTCCAGTTACTGCTGGGAGAAGGAGCGCAGACAATTTAGTACCTCCAAGAGGCCAGGAGGAGAGACAGGTGCTACTGTCCTTCTTCCTACGGTGATAACCCGAGGCTCACTGACTTGATCGAATGTCCCCGTGGGGAACTGTGTTCATACACAAGGTTTCCTCTTTCATCCCCCAGGACAGGGGCTGCCAAGCCACACCACTCCGCCACCCAAACACTCGATTTCTCCATCTTCCTTAAATTCAATACACACACATTTTTCTTCTACTATTTTGGCTAGTATTTCTCTTGGCCTGAAGAGTCTCTCTACTATAATTTAGAACAATACACAGTTATTAGTGCTGAGTTTAAAGTGCATGTTTAGCCCTAGAAGCCTTTTGTGTCTGATGAAAATCTTGGGATTTGTATAATTGCTCTAATTCTGTGATTAAAATATCTCAGCTTTGGTGTTCAGGCACCTTGCTGTTTTTAATGAAATCTCTCAGATGAACTCATTATATCCAAGTATTAAATTACCAATGAAGACATGTTATCAAATTATTCTGCCATTTTAAAGGCTTTTGCTTTAAATAGGTTGTCAATAAAGACAAAATAAGCAAAAAACAAAAACAAAAAAGTGGCCCATATTTGCAATGTTGTGGAAATTTAAAGTATGCAATGTTTTTAACAGCATGTTTATTGGAATGATCATTATATTTGCATAATCTATCGAAATCATGTTGCTTAACAAAAGCCATGTTATTAAAGCTATGGTTAATAAGGAAATTTAAAACTGTAGAACATAACATTTTCCAGTATCTTCAAACTCTAGTTTCACTTTTGAAATTCATGGGCTGGGGATGTAGCTCAGTGATGCTGTGCCTGCCTTGCAAATGCAAGGTCTTGAGTTTGATCCCTGATACCAGTACAAAAAGATAAAGAAAGAAATTTACTAGCATAAGATTTAAGGGATAAAGAAGTAAAATTTCAGATATTCTTTAGGAAGAATAGACCTTTTAAAAATAACCAAAAGCTATAAAACTGCCACCAAAGAAACAGTGATGATTTGTTTTCCCCCTTTTAAATCTCTGGAGCAGATAACACATGTCAGAAACAAACTTTGTGTCCATTAACAGACAAAATATGTCTCAATCATCCCAGCAATCTAGTCCATTATCAAACATGGTTACCAGCTATGCTGTAGATGTCAGAGGTTAATATAAGGTACAGGCGCGTCTGCTGGCTGAAATCAGCAGAGGCAAATTCTTCGAAGTCTTGCTCCTATGGAGACTTCCAGTTTCTTATTTGCCAGCACAGGATCTTATTCTTGGGAGTGGGTATTGCTTTACCAGCTCTGTCACCTTCTGAAAAGACACTTTGATGGGACATAACTGCACCCACAGGCAGCTGAGCTGTTAAGGCCTGTGTAATCTAGTCTCCCTGTTTAGGCAGAGAGGTTGGGAGAACTGGAGTTAACATTTATAGAGTGTTTACTGACTTAGAGATGGAGAGCACCATGTAATTACTAAGTACTACTACCCGTCAGAGATGACAGTAAAAATATAGCTTTATGTGATCATACCAGCACTGTGCTATTTTAAAAACTTAGAAAAGGCACTTAGATTTTTAGACTAACTCAGTCTCTCAGGGAAGCTGGGGGACAGGGGAGGAGTGTGTGTAAGAGGAGGTCCCTGTCAATGACCAAGTTGGGAGAGAAGAGATGCATACTTTGGGTTTTCAATTGCACAAAGTCCTTGTGCCCATCCATTTTCTTGCCACTTACATTTTTCAATGTCTGTCCTTACTGACTGCTTTGCTCGGTGCTCTCCTATCCTTGGACAAAAGCAAGCATGGTTTGTGGTGCAGTATGTCTGGGACACTGGATTTACCAGTGAGATAGAAGGGGATATGCAACACAATGGATTTATTGCTCCTCTTACCAACTCTGCACAATGCTATGTGGAGAGAAGCGGTCTCTATGTTCACTATGAAGGCAAAAGCAGAGCAGTATTTTCTAGTGCTCCTCCAGTCTGAGCTCACCCAAGTAGGCCCAAGAGCTCACACTGGAAAAGCATTCTCACTGTGGGCCACGTTATATCACCCTCACATCAGAAGAGTCTCAGAGCTTTTGGGCTGCTGTATATAAATAGGGATTGCTTAAAGGAGCCTTCTCTGAGATTTTAAGGTAGGAATCTGAGGGACATACTGGGCCTGTGCCAAGCACTGTAGTGGTTTTCTCAAGACTCCCCGCAGAAGTTGGATAAAAGCCCTGACACCTCTCCCACACCAGGGGACATCCTGAAAGTCCTTGGACCTCAGTCTAACATGAAGTGAGCCAATAAAGAGTCAGAATCACAGTCCCTCTGTCTCGGATTCTGTCTTTATTCAGACATATAACAAACAGGCACTGAACACCTATTGTGTTTACAAGAAGTACAGAAGGAGAAAAGGGAATCAAGTAAGAATTCCAACATCAGTAAGGTTATAAACTTGTAGAGAAACTTGGTATTCTCAAAGAACTACAATTTGTACACCAAACAAATAACAGTAAAATGTATCTAAAGTGTTAACAGATAATATAAAGTAGTCAATAAGGTGTTAGTACTGTGTTCCCACCTACCATCGGATGGGTGATGGGTAAGGTTTTAAAGAAAAGTATAAGCAGATAAAATTTAAAAACTAAAAATTTAAAAAATAAATGTTAGGAATCATTTGTATTTGTTAATCTATGCAAGTGGCCATAGTTACTGTCTCAAGATAAAATTTCCACAGTTACTGTGGAAGCTGAAAACAATCCAGGTCTAAGCTTGGCCTAGGGGCTACAATTCACCCCAGATGTGGTCAGTGGACAGCACAATTTCTACGGGTAGGACAGAAGTTTCTACTGGGATTGGTTGTACAGATCTCAGTGGATATTTTGGTCGCAAGAATTGCATGCTGTGATAACCTACTAGAATATCCACAAGGAACTCATAAATCATGACAGACTCCAAGAGAAGTCCAGCTGGTAACAGGCTGTCGGGGTCAGTGGCCGGCAGAGGCAATGGTGGCTTCATGGTGAGAATAGGTCAGGCAGCACTACCTACTACAAGGACGGGCCTTGTGAGTGATAAAGGAAACTATTCAAGGAGTGGCAGTAAATTCTACAAGACTTATTCACCACATATGTATGCACAGCCAAGCAGGCTGGTGGAGGACAGAAACAAGCAGTGTATCCTGGATCAGGAAGTGGTAGACCAAAGCCCTAACACCACTGTGTGAGTAGGCTCCACTTTGGAGCATACAGGCAGCTCTTTGATAGCAAGGCAGCAAAAGAAACTTTAGTGAAAGGACTAGCTGTACCTGTAGAATACACACTGATGTCACATCTCATGGATAAACATACTATCCTCTGTGTGTGTGTGTGTGTGTGTGTGTGTGTGTGTGTGTGTGTGTGTAAAGGGTATCATGCAAGGATCTTATTCAGAGAGTTTTCAAATGTGCTCCAAAATGGATATCAAGTTAACACTGTGAGCTTTACTTGAACATATGCTTTCACTGTGAATTCCCGCTACCTCAGTTTAATTCCTGTAATCAGAATCAGCCAGCTTCCAAGATGACCTCAATGATCGTGTCACCTGCTTTTCACACCACTGTATGTTTGCCACACATGTGCCAGGG